CCCCCCCCCCCCCCCCGCCCCCCATAGACACCACCCCCCAGCCCCCAGTGCCTCTCTAAGCCCTGGGGGGACCCCAGAGCCCCCCATAGTGCCCCACATACACCTCTGATCACCCCCTTAGGCCCCCCCATAGAGCATCTCAGAGCTCCCTCCAAGCCCCCCAAACCTTCATATTGACCAGGCGTGGGGCTGCGCCAGGCTGGCGCAGCAGTAGGTGGGCCAGGGCCAGGTTGCTGGCCCGCACAGCCAGATGTAGGGCTGTCAGGCTGCTCTTGGTGTCCTGGGAGGGAGACAGGAGTTGAGGGGGTCCCACAGGGAGTCCCACCTCCCCTGCACCTTCCCCCTGACCCCCTCAGACCCCAGTGCCTGGGAGCTCGGGTCTACCCAGCTCATGGGGACCTTGAGGCAGGACACAGTGGTCTTTGGAGAGTGGCACAAGGGGCTGGGCATGCACCCAGGGGGTCTGAGGGATACCTGGGGTATCCTGGAGGTGTCCATACCTGGCTGCTGCTGTCTGCCCCCATTTGCAGCAGCAGTTCGACACAGCGGAGTCGGTCCTGGAGGGTGGGAGTGGGGGATCCCCCCACAGGGCCCCCCGAGGGGGTTGTCCCCCCCTGCAGTGACGCATTGTGGGCTAGGACAGCGCAGTGCAGGGGCGTCTGGCCTGAGGAGGGGAACGAAGTGGGTCAGGATGGGCCCTCCCCAAACAGAGCCCCCCTGGAACTGAAAATCCTGCCAGGGGCCCCCCAAAGCACAGACACACATCCCCAGATGCTCCTCCATCAACTAATTGGGACCCCCAAACTGGGGACCCCCAGCACCACAAAGAAGGTATGTCTCCACCATGAACCCCCCCTAAGAGATACCAAAAAAATGGAGATTCCCAGGGACCCCCTCAAAGCAGGGACCCCCAACTCCTCCACGCTGAGGTCCCCTCAAGTGGGACCCCTGCAAGACACTGAAATTGGGGACTCCTCAGATGTCCCAAATCAGTAACGCCTTAACCCCCCCCCAAATGGGGACCCTTCAACTGAAGCTCCCCTGGTCTCCCCCAAAGAAGGACTCCAGGACTTCCCAAGAATCCCCCTCACCCCAAACTCAGGGACCCAGCCCGAGCCCCTTCCCCACCCCGGACCCCCCCAGATTTACTGACCCTCAAAGTTTCTGGCCTCCATATTGACAGGGACCCCCGAGGACATCATGGCCTGGAAAGGCAGGGTAAGAGATTTGGGATCCCCCTGGACACTAAGGACCCCTTTGGGAGGGTTGTGGAGTCTGCCCTAGGGGTCTCGGGTCCCTCCTGGACACCTGGGACCCCTCTGGGCCAGTTTTGGTGGCTCCCGGACACATGGGACCCCTTTGGGGCGTTTTGAGGTCCCCAATAACAGGGCATCAGATGCCTGGGTCCCACTGAGGTGATTCTGGGGTTCCCCCATGGGGGTTTGGTGGTCCCAGACAGACACCTGGGCCCTCTCTAGGCCGTTTTTGGGGTCCCACAGAACACCTGAGTCCTTTAGGGACCTCTTTTCAGTTCTGCCCTGAGGGTTGGGGTCCCTCCTGGACACCTGACACCCCCCAGGGCAAGTGTTGCGGTCCCCCTGGGTCCCCTCTGGTTGCCCAGGACCTGCAGGGGTTGGGGTTCCACCTGGAGGATTTGAGGAAGCCCGAGGGGGGGTTGGGGTGGTACATGGAGGATTTGCGGTCTCACATGTAGGATTTGGGGTTTGGGGTTCTCACCTAGAGGATTTCATGGGGTTTGCAGTCTCACCTGAAGGATTTGGAGTTTGAGGTGTCACCTGAAGGACTTTGGGGCTCAGGGGAGGGAGGGTTGAGGGTCTCATCTGTAGGATTTGGGGGATTGGGTCTCACCTGGAGGATTTTGGGGAGCCCAGGGAGGGGTTTGGCATCTTAACTGGAGGATTTTGGGTTTGTGGTCTCACCTGGAGAATTTCAGGGTGCCCATAGGCTGCCGCCAGGTGCAGGGCTGTCCGACCTCTGTGGTCAGCAGCATCGGGATCAGCTCCCAAGACTAGCAGGTCCCGCACAATTCCTGGGGCCGCCGCTGCTGCCGCCACCAGCAGCGGGGTCTGGGAGGGCAGAAGGGGGTGTCATGGGGATCTGAGGGAGTCTGGGGGGAGATCAGGGGGTCTTGAGGGTAAAAGAGGTGTCTGTGGGGGTCTAGTGGAGGGAAAGGGAGGGTCAGTGGGGTCTGGGGGAATCAGGGGTGGTAGGGAGAGCCTGGCACCCCCAACCCCCAAATTATCACCCTGGTGCACTGTTACTGTTCTGCCCCCCTTATCACCCTCTTATCATCCCCTAAATAATTACCTGTTATTAACTGCCCCTTCATTAGCCCTTTAGTGGCCTCTAGTTACTCCATTATTAATTACCCCTTTTCCCCCCATCACTCACCCATCCCCCCATTATTAGGCTGTGACAGAACCCTGTGATTAATCACCCCAGAATTAACTACCCCACCCCCATAATTAATTACCCCCATAACCCTGGGATCACGACATTCTTGCCCTTTTACCCCCGCCACCCCCTTATTGCCCCACAAGGACTCACTTACTGCCCTCATAGCCCCCTTTTTTACCCCTTGTGCTGCCCCCTCACCTTTCCCAGGTGCTCCCGCATCTCAAGCCCTCCCAGATCCCGCAGAGCCTCGGCTGCAGCCCGGGCAGGCACACGCAGCCCCCCTGCACAGAGCACATGCAGCAGCCTGGGGGTGGAGGGGGGTTAGAGGGAACTCCTTTGACCCCCAGACACCCCCCAGGGATCTGTCACCCTGTGGCTCCTCTCAGCACTCCACAACTGCCCCAGTGGCTTCCCAGCACCCTTTTTGCCCCACTGACTGCACCACTGACAGCCCCATTGCCTCCCCATTATCCCCCCACTGGCCCACTGCTGCCCCCCTTGGCCCACCACTGAACTCCCTGTTGACCCTCCTATTTACCCCCCATTCACCCCACATTGACCCCTCATATTGACCCCACATTCACCCCGTTGCCTCCCCTTTGCTCTCCCATTCTCCTCCCCATGGGCCCCATTGACACTCCACTGATCCCCCCCGACTTCCCCATTTCCCCTCCCACTGGCTCCCCCAGTGACTCCCCCATTTGCTTCCCCCATTGACCCTTCCATTGCCCCCCTCGACCCAAATACCCTCCATGGATCTCGCCACTGCCCCCATTGAGCCCAGCCCATTGACCCCTCATGGAGAACCCCCATACCCCCCATGACCTCTGTACCCCCCACGGCCCCCATGGTTCCCCCTCACGTGTCCCCCTCCTCATCCTGCCACAGGAGCTCCCAGGGGTCTTGGCCCCACAGCGCAGCACGGGCGACCGCCAATTCCCGAGGGTCAAGATCAGGGTCTGAGGTCTCCCTCCCCATCGGGGGG